AGGATAACTTGCTAAATTATACTCCAAAAAGGTTTTACCAATTGACATTTCTACCAACACTATATATGAGGGCTTATTTCTCCATACCTTACACAATACTGGATATCATCAAATTATTAAATCTTTGCCAATCGAGTAGATAAAATAATCTCTTTCTTTTTAATTTATACTTCTTTAATCATCAATGAAGAATATCCCTTCACAGGATTATTGGTCATTTGTATTTATTTTTCCAAGAACCATCTGTCCATTTGTTTCTTTCATTTCTTTTGTAATAATATTTCAACACAATCAACAACTAAATTAACAACTTTAATGCATTCAGGAAAGAAAAGATGTTAGCTTAACTTTAAAGCACTAATATCATGGTAAAAAAAAAAGCAAGATTTTTCTCTTATATTCAAAACATATACACAAGTTTTAATGGAATTACTTTAGATTTATGTTAACAGTGCCAAAAGACATACTGAATAACTCTTGGTATAAAATTCTGAAGAAACCTTAATCTTAAACTCATATCCTGAATACAGACACTGTTCAATAAAATGTAGCTAAAGTTTTACAGTAGTAAGATGCAAGCAATTAAATCTTCTATCACATTATCAAAGATTTATTATCTTTAATTTATTACATTTTTGTTCATTGCTCCCTCACCATAATTAAGAAATAATGATTTATGAGCATAATGAATTTTGCTCTCATTATACTATGAAAAGCAATAAAACAAATTCTTCTTCAGCGACAAAATCTCTGGGTTTACATTAGCTTATAACAGGTAGGTATTTTAATTTTCCTACATTACACTCCAATACCTATATGTTCATTCTTTTTGGTGTTTATTAAAATGTTTCAGTATAAACTCCTTGAAGGTACTAACCCTTAACACCTTGGATATATAGTAAACATATTTTGATAAATGAATAAGTTATCTTGGGAGCAATATACTGATGACAAAAAAAACCCAGGAATAGTTTAGGTCATATTCCTTCACCAAACAGCACATGAATTGAGAAATTAAATGTCACACTGCACAAGTAACATAAACTCTACCATACATTTTCTGCTATGTGTTCAACTCTATTGTTTAGAGCAAGGTTTCTCAACCTCAGCACTATTGCCAGATAATTCTTTGTTGTGGGAGACTGTCCTGTACACTGTTGAATGTTCAGCAGTATCTGTAGCTAATGTCTCCAAACACAATCAAATGTCTCCTGGAGTATAAAATCCCCCTGGGTGAGAACCACTGGTTTAGAGATAGATGACACTGTAAATGTCAATAGTCAAAGACAAGAGTCAAAGTGATGCCTCCTGTGGAAGGCATCAAAAATTTGGGGAACAACTTCAAGAATTTCAATATAACTGCTAGGAAACCCTCTAATCTAGGGTATTCCCATGCCTCCATTCCTCTCATCTGTAGTCAGTCCACTATAATTATTCAGCCTTAATCTTGTACAGATGATTTGTGGACAAGCATTTGTTAGTTTCTTCAGTGCCATCTGGACAGCTTTAAAGATTTCAAACCCATTTCCAAGAGCTAGTTCCAGAATCCTACTGTAGCTAGTTATATGTACCACTACAATGTAACTGAACAAGAGAAAGAAGACTGTTTAATTATACTGGATGGGGACTTTGGGCTGAGTGATTCAAGGTAAAATTACAACAGGTGAGATAATATAACACGTCCTGGGCCGGCCCAGTGGCACACTGCTACAGTGCGCCGCTTGGGAGCGCGGCGGCGCTCCCAACAAAAAAATATATATTAAATAAAAAATATATATTAAATAAAAAATATATATTAAATAAAAAATATATATTAAATAAAAAATATATATTAAATAAAAAATATATATTAAATAAAAAATATATATTAAATAAAAAATATATATTAAATAAAAAATATATATTAAATAAAAAATATATATTAAATAAAAAATATATATTAAATAAAAAATATATATTAAATAAAAAATATATATTAAATAAAACAAATGCATACATTGTGGAAATTTCTTCCTGTCAATTCTTATGAAGAAGAATTTTAAATATTAATGGTGTTTGAAAGGGAATACATACACTCAATAATAACCTGAAATGCACAAATCATTGGAAAAATCACATTTTTTTCTTATTCCTGATCTCCAACCATCTACCAATTCTCTTTGAGGGTTACAACTGTTAGTTTCTTGTATATCTTTCCAGAGATTTTTCCATTTACTTGGAGGCATATGTATGTCTCTTCCAAATTACATAAGAGATAGCTTATGAATGTATAAATACTTCTGTCTGTATACATATACAGACATAAGTATACATATATATATATATATATATATATATAAAACACGTCCAATACTGAAGAGAAATGAGTGCATAAACATTTCTAGCTGTGGTTCTGACACAAAGATAAGCACATACAATGCTTATTAATGAACACGTTTCTTTGTATTGTTCCTGGACAAGATGAGGAGACAAGTTAAATATTTAAAAGCAGAGTGCCTTAATCATGTTTTCTAAATTCAAAAATGCACTACTAATTGCCTTTAATGTTTGAAAAGTACTAACAACACATTAAGATTTCTCAAAACTCTTTTAAAGTTTTATGCAACAGAAATAACAAAGTAGAAGGAACTGATTTAAAAGCCTATAACAGAACACATCCCTGCTTCAAGAGAAAAAACTCAATTAAAAGTCAAATTTTGTACAAAACACTGACACCAGTAACTCTCTTATCTCTAACATTCAGCATCCTCATTTCCAATATACTACTTCCAATAAGTTTTGAGGACAAAATAAGAAAAAAAACATTGATAGAGGTTAGATGTGTTGTCCCTGCCAAAACTCATGTGGAAATCTGATTCCCAATCTGGCAGTGCTGGAAGCTGTTTGAGTCATGGGGGTGGATCCCTCATGAATGGATTAATGCTCTCCCTGGGGGAGGAGGGGTAGTGAGTGAGTTCTCACTCTATTAGTTCCTGCAAGAGCTGGTTGTTTAAAAGATCCTGGCACCTCCTTTCTCTCTCTCTCTTGCTTCCTCTCGCCATGTGATCTGCTTGTACCTACCAGCCGCCTGCCGCTTTCCACCATGAGTAGAAGGAGCCTGAAAGGCCCATGCCAGATGCAGCTGTCCCAGAATCAAAACCCAAACAAAGCTCTGTTCTTTATAAATTACCCAGTCTCATATATTCCTGTTATCGCAACACAAAACAGACTAATATAGAAAACTGGTATCAGAAGTGGGGTGTCTCTGCTGCAGCTCTGACCCTATGTTTCTGTTCAGGGTTGTTCTAGCGAAGACTCTACGTGGTGAATCTACCCCTGCAGCAGATCTCTTCCTGGGCCCCCATGCTTTTCCATACATTCTTTGAAATAATGGTGGAAAAAACCAGGCCTTCAGAGCTCTGGCATTCTGCAAGCCTGCAGACCTAACACCACATGGATGCCACCAAGGCTTCCAGCCTGTATTTTCCAAAGCTGCATGTCCAGCCAATTTACCCACAGCTGGGGTAGCCAAAGCAGCTGGAGTACTGGTGCTAGCAGTTTCCCAAGGTGGTCCTGGGCCGTGAACCCGTGGAGGGCTGCTCAAGTCTGTTCCCCAAGACTATTCTGTCTCCCTGGGTCTTTGGGCCAGAAATGGAAGAGGAGGTCCCAGAGACTTCTGCAATGCTTTCAGGGCCTTTTTCTCCTTCTCTTGACAATTCATTTCCTTTGTACTAATTTTCTTAGCTAATGGTCACTGGACTGCGCCACTGCATGCACTCTGCTTCTCTACCATATGGCCAGGCTGCAAATTTTCCAAATCTTTATGCTCTGCTTCCCTTTTAAATTTGGCTTTACATCATGCCTTTTCTGCCATAACTCAGAGTAGGCTGTTAAAAGTAACCATGCAGCTTCCTTAATGCTTTGCCGCTTAGTAATTTCTTCTGCCAAATATTCTGATTCATAACTCTTAAGTTCCACCTTCCACAAAGTCCAAGGGCTTGGACACAATGCAGCCAAGTTCCTTGCTATGGTGTAGCAAGGGTTATCTTTTGTACAATTCCTGATAAGTTCCTCATTTCTATCTGAGACCTCGTCATCTGCATGGCCTTTATTGTCTACATTTCTATCAACATTCTGGTCAAAACCATTTAACCAATCTCTAAAACATTCCAAACATTCTCTCATCTTTTTGTCTTCTTCTAAGTCCTCCAAACTCCTCCAGTCTTTGCCTAACACCCAGTTCCAAAGCCACTTCTACATTTTCGGGTATCTGTATAGCAACACCCCACTCCTCGGTACCAATTTTCTGTATTAGTCCGTTTTTGTTGCTTATAAAAAAGTACACCAAACTCAGTGATTTATAAAGAAAATAAAATTTATTCCTTACAGTTTCTGAGGCTGGGAATTCCAAAGTCCATCTGGTGGTGGTGACAGTGACCCAGGGGTCTCACAGTGCAAGATGGTGGAAGCAGAGAGAGCAGAGGGAGAGAGAGAGACTCTCCTCTTCTTTTAAAGCCCTCAAACCACGCCCCTGGCCACCATTTTTAATCCATTAACTACTGCATGGTCCTACAATCCAATCACCTCTTCAAGGCTCCACCTTTCAATTACCGTAATAGGATTTCCCACCTTCCCCACAGTCACAGTGGGGGCTAAGTTTCTAATATATAAAATGCGAGGGATACAATTAAAGCTTCAATGAGTTTTGGAGGGACATAATTCAATCCACTATCAACATAAATAAATTTTGAAAATGATACAGCATTATTCTAATATAAGACATTAGCAATAACTAGGCAAATGAATGTAATATTACACAGAACTTTGATTTTCAGAATTAATGAAATTAGTGATAAGAAGTAAAATTAACACATTGTTCAAAACATGTCACTCTGACCAAACAAATTTAATTTACTTTTCATTACTTGGAAAAAAATTTGCAATTTTGAATGTGATAAAGTACAACTGCAAAGCAATAATAATGCTAACATTTAAACTGTATAGATTTTCTAAATACTTACATTACTTGCAAACTTTCTGCTGTTAAATTATTCCACATGATTTCATTTGCCTGAAGATTTTCATTTTCTTCTAATAAGGAAATATCAAACTCAATATCTTCTTTAGCAGCCATTGTTCTAGTAAAGCATGCCAAATAATTTTGATCAATATGGATATGCTATCATAATATATCTTAGTACACACCAAAGTCAAAATATTTGCTCTTATCCAAAATTACATTAACAAAGTAAACACAAATCATATAAATAAAATTAAGCCATAGGCATCACAGATCTAGTCATGTACCTTAGTTCCCTCATTTGTAGAATACAGATATTAACTAATAATCTTCTTTATCCTGTCACAGTTCTAATGAGTATAAAATAAGATGCATGCATGGGAAAGAAACTGGTGTATCACAAAGTTTAATACACATATAAAGTCACAGTGTTGTTATTACATATATTTTTTAAAAAGAAAATATAATTTCATGGGTTAAATATAAATTTAAGCAATGATAGAGTGAGAACTGACAAATTTTGAAATATCATTATATAAATTAAATAGTTATCATCATTGACAAAGGACTTTGAAAATTAAAAGCAGACAAACTAATCTAAAATATGCTATGTCCTAATAAGTGATTAAATATTTATTTTAATTTGGCTAAATATTACATGGCAGAAAAAATAATACTGTCATAAACACTTACAGAGGAATGAAAATATCATACCTGTGAACATCTATGAAATTATTGTATTCTGTACTAGGATCTATCTGTTCAACTGACATTTCAATCTCTTTGTGGACATTCACTATTTCCTCTGTAACAAGACTGGTTATCTGGCTGTACTCATCAAATATACCTTTTCTGAAAATAAAAATAAAAATTTACAACATTTTAAAGTTTTATTAAGACAAACATGGTCTCAAAAAGGGTTAAGAGTAATAAACTTAAAAAATGTAATATCAATATTTATAGATGGTGGCTTCATGCACTACCTTATTTCATACACCTGGAGAGTAAAGACAGGGATTATATAAATGTACAGATTAGCAATTTACATTTGATATAATACAGTAATTGTGAATGATCTTGAATAAGGCATTACCTTTTTGAACATGTATTTGATATGTCTAAAATATAGGACTAGTGATAAATTTTTATTTCTAAATATTCTCATAGAAATTTTGGATTCCACAATATGGAACTCTGATCAAGTCCTGTCTCTTTAACACTCCTTTCAAGTGACCACCACTTCCTCACATGCCCTTCATCTTGGTTCTTCTCTTGCTCGTGGACCTCAGCTCTTTTCCATATACTTAGTTCAACTGATTCTATACCTTCAATGACATCTAAATCTCTTCTCCTGATCTCCAGTCAGTAGTTATCAAAGTTATTAAAGTTATCAGACTGGTCTAATAAATGCAAAAGGAAAAAAACTGTTCTATCACAAAGACCAGATCCCTACTAAAAAATTCCATGCTGTAAATATATGCCATCGATTAATAGTGGCTTTAACAGCAGGTGTGGACAGACAAGCTTATCCTGAACATACCCAAATAAATATAAAACATGGCTTGTTTTTCTTTTCCAGAATCATTTCTCAAAGAAAAGTAATCTTTACAAAAGCTCCCTTATTATGAAGTATTCTCTCAACTATTTTAAATAGAAAAATAATGTTCCGGTAAAAAAAAAAAAAAAAAATTAGATTTAAACTGCTTCAGGTAATGCTAGTTTCAAATGATTAAAGAAATCATCTGACAAACACAATTTAAAGAAAAGGGGATGGCAGAGAAATTTAATACAGATTTAGTCAATATTCCTCCTCATGGTTGAATACTGAATAATATTAATGTAAATGAGCCTATCTAGATAACGCTTATAAAGCAATACAGTAAATATTTATGATGAGGAGATCATTAACATTCACCTTCAAGACAAATAGGAGGGAGAGGAAGAAATCTCCTAACATACAAATGGGTACCTGTCACATGGGATTCAATTTCAGTGATATCATCATGCTTGGATTTTTAAAATGCTAGATCTAAAATAACACATTACAAAGTAAAAATATGTTGTGGGAAACTATTATATGTGTCAAAAAATGTTCTAGTGATGATAAAGATACTATTATTTAAAATTCATGTGAACAGTTTGAAAAAATATTGACTCATGAAATGAGTGGGAAAGGAAATATTTCTAAATCAACAATATGTAATTTAAAGTAGAGATAAGTAACTAAATTTCTGAATTACGTATTTTAAGTAGACATCTCACTACTTTACCAACACTTTGAAAAGTATACATATTCTAGTTGACTAAAAACACTTTATTTTATCTTCTTATTGTGAATATGGAAGATCACCTAAAATTTACTCTTACTTATACACAAGTATGTTTCTAGTTATCTTCACTTTTACATAAAGAGAAGCAAAAGCAAGTCAAACAGAGTCTGAAAGACAGCAGACAAATTTGATCTCTTAATTTTGAGGTTCTGGAAGTCGTTTTTGCCCAAGAAATATTGGGAACCTTTATCCCTTATCAGAAATATTTGTATGTAAGTGAAATAACATAACACAAAGATAGCTAGTTATACTAAATCTGTTATGGCACCAAGGAGCCCTTCAAAGAAAACAATGAAGCCATTTATTAAGTTTAATTAATATCAGGATAACAGTTAATCAAGTATTAAGAGATTTTTTTTAACATTTCCCCTTTTGAATAATTATTAAAATAGATGTGTTGTGCAGCACAACTTTCAAAGTTTTACAGAGAAGAACATTTCTCACATAGTATAATAAAAATCTCCAGCTTTTGGTGGCCCCAGGTGTTCCTTGACTTGTAGAAACCTAATCTCAATTTCTGCCTCTTTTTTCACATGGCTTTCTCTCTCTCTCTCTCTCTCTCTCTCTCTCTCTCTCTCTCTCTCTCTCTGTGTGTGTGTCTGTCATCTCCTCTTATAAGGATTCAAGTCATTGGATTTTGAGACTACTCTAATTCCAGGATTATCTCATCTTGAGATCCTTAACTAATTACATCTGCAAAGGCATTTTTCAAATAAGATCACATTCTAAGCTTCCAGTTGCACATGAATTTGGAGGATATACTATTCAACGCACTTCATCTTTCCCATGGAAAGAGTGCTGGATTAGTAAGAAGACCTAGCTAGCTTCAAGTCCCAGATCTGCCATCTCTTAGCTTTGTGATCTTGAGCCATTCCTGATTTCTCTGTCACAGATACTCTGGCTATAACCTGTTCTTCCTACTCTTCAGGTACTATAAATAACAAGAGAGCAAATGAGCAAATGCACACAAAAGTGCTTTGCAAACTACAATGTATTGTGTAAATTGAATGTTTTGTTTTAGAAATTATCATTTTACCTTTCACAGTTACTATGTGTTGGGAAAATATAGGAAAATGGTCAGGGCCCCTCAGATGTTCAGAATCTTGCTGAACATTTGATGTAAATATGAACATGTGCCCAAGTGTTCCTTGGTTATTATCTAATGTAATTGAGCATGTGCACCCAGGTGTCCTGGGTTTTGGACTTAAGTATAAAGGACGAGTGGCTCTGATCCATGCTCCCCCACCCCCCACCCCCAGGATGGCTCCGGGGGTGTCATGGGGAGCCCTAGGCCTCTACTGCTGCTGGAGGCTGCTGCTGAAAGCTGTTGCTACCAGTGTCCCCGGGACCCTCTGAGAGGCCGCCACCACTGCCAGACCTGCAAGCTGCTGGACCTGAAAACTGCTGCTGCCATTGCTGAGGGCTGAGCTTGTGTCATCTGCCAACAGCTCCTTGGATCTTTCCCAATAACATAGCATGGTCCTGCGTGAGAGGGGTCTGGGGACCCAGCCTGTACAATGGGTTTGAAAGGTCTGAGCCCTAGCTCTGATAATATAAATGGAAACTTGGTATAACTAAAATAATGAAACATTTTGGCTTTAGTTATGATTTGCCTTACTCGACAACTGGCGTAGTTGTGTAGCTTTACACTGTGGCACCTACTAACTTATTCAATATTCAGGCATCCTCATATCATAACCTCAAAAATGCTCACAATCATCTTTCATATTTATTTATTGCTACATTTCAAAATATACTAAACCGAGGAACTCATGTGCTAATTTATGTAATTACAGATAAAATATAGAATATAAGTACTTGCATTTAACTGGCCAAAGTTCCTTCTCTCATAATTCACCACTTATTTGTGAACTTTATCTCTATCTGAAAGATAACCAACCACTTAGTTCTCCTTCTCTAACTCTCCTTTGCTACTACCCCATTTCCTTTCTCTCTTCCCCAACCCTACTCCTAGCCCACAGCAACTCTAACACTGAAGGATTCCCCTACACACATTTCCTTTGAAAGAAAATTCAATCTAGTCATTCAGAAAGTGCTAAGCCAGCTAATAAAATGGATAAAGTCCCCCAAAGGGTGGCTTATTTTTTCTGTTGTCTGTGTCAATGTACATGATAAACATGGGCACATATAACTTATTGATTAAATTCTACTGTTAAGTCCTTAAAGGAAAGAATTGTGGCTTGCTCATCTCTATATCCCAAAGCACCAGGTAGCGTGCTCTGCACACAGTAAAATTTCAAGAAACATTTGTTGATTTTAATCTCACACAGGAAAAAAAAGAACAAGAAGCTGTCGAATAAACCTTCAAAAATTTCTTTCCTTGAGGCATCTTCTCATTTGTTCAAGATTTAAATACCAACCCTCTGGAAGCAGATATTCATTTCTTAACACTTGTCAACTTGTTGATTTTTTTTCATTTAAATTTCCAGCTAACGAGAACAAAACAAAAATATACTAAAGAAGGGCCATTCTCAGGACTAACTAAAAGATTTAGGAGATGAGCACATCTGAAGGGACACCAGAAGCAAAAATCAAGAAGGACTAAGGTAAAACAGGTCTGAGATACCCATTGGGCTGGGTCAGTAATGAAGCTTATGAAACAAAAGCTTAACTCAGAGAGAAAATATGCTGAAATCATTTTATGAAGGAATTTTATGATAAATAGGAAATGTATCTTACAGTGCTTTTATCATCTCTTCTTGCATCTTTTGTAAGGAGTCCAGAAGCAGAGGAAGTGTAGTGTCATAATACTGATTCTGATGAAGCTGTGCCCCTTTCAATGCCAATACATACTGATTATGTAACATATGAAGTTTCATTGTGGCTTTATCATAGCGTTCCTTGGCCTTTTCAGTTTCCTTCCCTGAAGAAAACATTGAATAATGTTAGCAAAGAGATAAGATAAAAAGTCTTATCTTCACTATGTGCAAAAAGGATTACCACTATTTTACGTTATTTCACACATCTTATATAAATACTCAACAAAAGTTTATTGAACATATATACTATGTGCTCAGCTTTATGCAAAGAACTATTTATTTGCCAGTACTTAGCACATAGGCTGCCATGAAGGAGGCATTCAGTATAGTGAATTCTTGGTGAATAAAGGTCAATATATAACACAAATCTTCAAGGAGCTTATAAAACAGTGCACATAAAACTGCATAACTGAGAAAACAAGAAAGTTTCTATAAATAATATTACATTTTGAGGTCTGTCTGAGATATGAGTACAGACAAGAGTAGTCAGAGGAAGTTTGTGTAGAAAACAGATCCTTAAAAGATGGGGCACATCTGGAAAAAGTATAAGAAAGATAGACAGACAATAGTTATTCCCTCTCATCTTCCCCTTTCCCTTCATTCCTTTCTTCCTTTCATGCAATGAATATTATTGACTGAACTCTGCTAGGAACTGTGCTAATAAACATTGAGAATTCAGTATTTGGCAAAACAGAGTCCTTGACATAGAGCCTGGTGAACTGAAATACTGAGTGTATACATGTTACATAGGCAAGCAAAGAGATAAGCTTGCCTGAAGAAGATGGCAAGTTATGAGGAAGTAAAGGAAATATATCTGTATAGATAGGGCAATTCCAGGTGTTGAATGATTAAAAATGAAGCAGAGAAATTCAAACTTGATATGGGAGAAGTCTAGGAGATACTGATAATGTTATGAATTAAACCTTTTTGTGGTTCCTTTACTAAAGTTTAGAAAATATTGGGGCCAGCCCGGTGGCGCACTGCTACAGTGCGCCGCTTGGGAGCGCGGTGGCGCTCCCGCCGAGGGTTCGGATCCCACATACAGACTGGTTCCCGCTCACTGGCTGAGCAAGGCGTGGGAGCAACACCGAGGGTTGCGATCCCGTTGCCGGTCCCGGTCCGGTACGGGTGTGACACTGAGGGTGGCGATCCATTGCTGGACACGAAAAAAGACAAAAAGGAAAAA